AAACTCTGGCAGTGAGCGATATGCATTCATTCATTCATGCTACATCTTTAGTTGTATTCTACAAACCTGGAAGAGCTCCTTTAAAATGTAGGAAGGCTACTCTAGAAGAGTCACAATAATTTGCTTAGCAGCAAAAGTCCCATGCGAATCATCTCTGACAACTCATTAGCACTATGCTAAGCTAATGGATCAGTAAATGGATTTTTATGTAGGCATAAAAGCTAAATCACTACACTGTGGTGCTGTTCAACGGTGCTGTGTTTAACACGTTAGCCCGAGCCCCAGGGGCGTGTTTGTGTCTCATTAGGCTCGGCCAGGGATCTATTGTAGATGAGGAAGACTCAGCAGCAAGACAGGGAAAACAATAAGGATGGCCTGTGGGGCAGAAATATGTGTCCATCTTGTCAAGACATCCCACAAGTGTGGATCCTTTTGTATTTTATATGAAGGAAAACTAACAGCGTGTAAGACCAGGACAGTTCAAATAACAGTGTGAAGGTTGTTGAACTGAAGCCACACGTTGAAACCCTTGTTTACACAGAATGAACGTAATCCAGTTTTCTAATTATCATTTCTATGTATGGCTTTTGTTTTTATCTGTTCAAGTTGCATTCCGCAAATTTAGACATCAGTGCCGCGGTTTGCTTTCTTTCCTCTTCGTCGGGTTCTCATTACGAATTCCTGCACTCAAGTGGTGAGCCTCTCGGCACAAAACGGCTACCTGCTGAGACTCTCTGCCTACAACACAGAGCGTTGGTACACAAGAAATTTCAAGAAGATTAATCCCCGACGTCAACGGTGGACCCCTTGGAACAAAACATGGCCAGACACGTGTGCGTTATTAATCCTCTCAGGGCTAATATTTGAATTCTTCCAGTTGGTACCTTGAACGAATGGCTACTCCTCTTCTTAAAACTTTGCTTTGCTGCCAGTATTTATTTTTTTGGAACCGGCCACGGCACAGTCTATTTGTCAGAGCCGGTGCAGATGGAGCAGATAGGCCGATGTCATCCGCAGGCGAAGATGTGGGTGTTGTCAGATTATTATACTCATGGATAACCAGTTTCCTGAACGAGGAAAAAGATTTATATCAGGTTACTTTAAAGTCATAAATTTTGTGTCTGGCAAAACAGCAACAACATAAAAAAACCCTCATTTTTGGAATTAATTACAGCAGGAGTTGGGCGTTAACAGGTTTAATGCAACATCTCTACAAGCCTTCATCACAGAAACTTTTCCTGTTTTTTAAAAGGTCAGATTTCTCTGTTCTTGTTTTCTGTTTATTTACACCAAGCAGCTCAATTGCTGGTGATAAATATTCATCAAGTATTTGTAGTTTGTCATATCGGCCTCRTGACAGCTTGTGTGGTGCAGTACAAGTTTTTCAACAAATGCGGTGTACTCGATCACAGAAAACAGGAAATAGAATACTACCTTTTTATTATTGATCTGACAGTAGCCCACTTTCCAACCTGGAGACAACGAATAAGACACTGAAACTGAAAAGCAAGCAAGCAGCAGGGCCTTTGTTGAAAGAACATCTCTTACCGAGTGGGAGTTGAGTGGGAACATTTGGCTCGGCAGCAATCTCACCAACCACACGTCTCAGTGCGTTTTTTTTTCTTCCCAGCGAGCAGAAATATTGCTGAAGACACTGAATGGTACATTTTGACTGCTCTTACTGTAGATGTTGCTTATGATTAAATTCCAAGGACACCGGAGGAAAAAYCTAAAGACTGTCTGTGTAACTGATAATTATAGCAGTAGAAATGTGTTTTGTGTGAAACCCTTTTAAATAAAATAGACTGCTCTTGTCATTGTTGTTTTTTTTTTTTTATCATTGTCATCACTTCTGGTTCTGCTTAGCATATTTCAGTTGGTCTTGCTTCCTGGCCTCCCTTCAAACCTGGTCCTAATCTCCTAATCATGACACCTGCCTTGTTTTTAGTCTTTAGTTTCCCTTCAGTATTTTCACATGAGCAATTTTTTGAGCAATTTTTAAGTTCAAGCTTGAGATTTCTGTGCAGCAACTTATCTGTTCATGTGCTCTTCAGGACAGGGATCTCTGAGGTTCTTCCTGTGATCTGCTGGAGTCACGCTTCCAGCTTGGTGTCCCCGTACCAAGTGTTCTGATGACCACTGTCACTTTAGCATGAGAGAACAGAGGTTCAAATCCTGATGCATTCAACAAATACAGAGACAGAATTWGTTTGGATTAACAAAGTCGGCATCGCGAAGACCATCTGATGAGAAAAGAGCTGCAGGAACAAAACGTTCATGAACAAGGTCCGGGGACTTAACATTGTCGACAATACGTGAGATTTGTAGGTCCTTTCTCAAGAGCACCCTTCCTTTTTTTTAGGCTTGTTACTTGTTCAAAGCACACAAACACAAGTTAACAAAACTTAACCTTTCTTCAAAAACATGCTCCCAACAGTCCCACAAAGTTGCATTTTCTTAAGCTAAGTGTTAAAAGTCATCTAAGCCAGTCTCAAAGTTGGGGTCGGGACCCAAAGTGGGGCCCCGAAACATCAAGATGGGGTCCTGAAAAGATTTTCTGAATTATTTACATTTTTGCCTTAGTTGTTACAAATGAGTGAGGTTAGTGTATTTAAAATGGATAAATGTAGTACAAAAATATTGTTACTATGCCCATGTTTTGTTGACCTGATACAAATGTTTATCATCCAAAAATAGTTGGGGCCACAGGTCTCTGCTACTGTTATTTTGTGGGTCAAAAGCTGAAAAGTTTGGGAACCACTGCACTTTGGTTCCCAAAGTTGGGCTTGGGACCCAATTATGGGTCATGAAGCACCTTTGATAATCTCCAGAAATCAATTTAAAGGGTAATAAAACAATTGCTGATGTAATATTTTCTCTATAATTATCACAAAACACAAAATAAGTATAAATAAGTATTTACATTTGTGCATAAGCTGTTTAGATTGTCAAAAAGCCTGTGTTTTTAGGGTTATTAATGAAGTTCATGTACTCATACCAGTAATATCTGGGGTCACAAGGTTTTGCCATGGATATTTTGTGGGTCAGAAGATAAAAAGTTTGGGAACCATTGATCTAAGCTACTTCAGTCAAAAAAATAGTAAAAGATGATACTTTTAAATCCTTTTTCACATTTAAATCCTTCAGTTGGGGTCTATATAAGGTGGAACTGAAATGCTTTGGTCTGAATTCCTCCTTATTGTAACTCCACAAGCCCCGCCCCTTTTCTGAGGTGTGTCTCAGATCAACTCGTTTTGAGGCTGTCTCTTTAAATCCAAACAAAMCGTTTCACAATCCATCCCCTTCCAATTTCTAGAGCGGTCCATTCTAGTTTGATAAAGGGGTTTACAACTATATAGTGGTGCAGAAATGTTTTAGTTACAAATAAACTAAAAGATGTCGACAAGGGAAGACTTGTCCATCCAGCCTTACATGTTGGAGCCAGAGTCTGACCCAGAACCAGAAGAGAATGAAGACCACCAAACTGTTGAACGTTCCACAAAAACATGTTCTCTAAGAAAAATTTGCAAAACTTATTGCCTCAAACTAAATAAGGATGGATACWGTGTTTAAACTAAGCTACTAAATTAAAAAAAACTATTTCTTAAAACTGACCAAATTTGTAGAACTCCACATCGTTAGATCAGAATTAGTTCACTTTGTGTTATCGTACATAAACACCAAACACCATGAAAATGTCCTCAATTATCCCCCAGCCTTTAGGTATTTTAATRGTTTTATATCACAGCCACTTATAGTCCAAATTGAAACAAATAAACATTTATTGGATTCAAAGTAAAATATAATCTTTTTTTCCTCTTCTTTTCTTCACATTTTAAAATGTTCTAATTTGTTTTAGATCATTTTTTCTGGTATGCATCAGATAGTGTTTTCCTTCAAATCTTTTTTTAAAGTCAGAATTAAAAATATAAAATATTATATATATATATATATAAACATTTCAGTGTCGTCCATTTGTTTACAGTCACAGGAGTCATGGGAATGGCCCGGCTTCAGTTTTATTCTCACAGTTTGGAAACAATGACTACCTAAAAGCTAAAAGAGAAGGTACAGTTAATCATTTCTATTTGCGCAGAAATCCAGCTTTACAGCAGCACCAAACTGACTGAGTCAAACCAACGGGACATTTTATTTACAGAGTGCAAAACAAAGATGCGATTTAAAAAAAAGGCAGCATGAAATAAAAAATGAGGGATCAGGTGGAAATTGGTATTTTCTCACTAAACAGAGCATAATTGACCTGGAAACACTAATACCACACACACACAGTTTTGTTTTTTATATCCTTGTGGGGATCGTGGATTGACTTCCATTCATTTTTTTTGGTAATTTTGTAGCCTAACCCTGACTATTTATTCTAAAACTAACCTAAACTCAATTCACATCTTGGTCCTAAACCTAACATCCCCACCCGAAATTAGAATCCGTACCAATGGCTGGTCCCCACGACGCTGCGTTTTTCTGGAAAATGGTTCCCACAATGTAGCAAAAACATGCCTACACACCCATCATAGCTTTTAGAAACTGATGCTCTTTTTTATATCCTCAAATGCAGACATTGAGTGGAGATGTACAAAAAGAATGGACACATTAACAAGAACACTTGCTCATAAAAAGCAGGATGCCGTTATACTCCTGCAAAAACAAACAGAACTGTACAACGAAAACAAAAAAGTCTCGACAAATCTATAATGTCCCGATGTGTTTGGCATCTGCATTATTGATGATTTGTGTTTTTGCCGTTGTGTCCACCCGCTCTTCTTTTTCACAAAATAAACTTTTTTTTGTGCTGCCTGTGCCCTTGTTTCTCCATGAGCCCAACAGAACATGAAATACATAAGTTGGCTATATTTATACACATTGTTTCAAATCCCACACTGTCATTTAAATCAGCAAATAACACATCCTGCAAATATCTGCCCAAAACATTTCATATCAAAATATATTCAATTTGGACAATAATTCAGAAATACATTTAATTACAGATGAATAGAGTTTAATTACAGAATTTAACCTATGTGACATAATGTGATATTTTCCACTTTTCAGTATTTTTAATGTTTTTTTGCTCCAATATAAATATCTCTAAACACTGAATAAAAGGAAAAAGAAAATCGAAAGGTAAGCCACATGAGATCCAACATCTGTAAAATCCCAAATGTTTTTTTCTTTGCCAGACTGTGAGCTCTGGTCTGAGCGTGTCCCAAAAATATACAAGAGGATGAATAATGCATTGGATGAGACTTACTTCACAGTGTGTCTCTGGATGAGCTCTCACACACTCACAAATAAAACACACACAAAAATGAGCCAGGAGTCCACATCTGCTAAATGCTCCCTGTGGTGTGAACAAGAACAAGAAACCACTCCTATAGTCTATGTTGGCACCACATACCGAACAGAAGATATAAGCGGAGTCATCCAAAATGTTCAAGTTTTTTTACTGTCATTATTGTCACGAAAAAAGAAAAAAAAACTGCAGATTCGTTCTGTCTTTTGTGTGATTTTCAGTTTTCATCTCAAAACCCTCCCAGAACATCTCTGCAGAGATTTAGGTGGCCTCAGCCTCATAAAGTTTCACCCAGTTAAATCAGAGAAAAAAAAAATCTAGAAGTTGATAGATGATATAGTCTGGCTCAGTCTCAGTAAAGTCACAAGTAAAGTCACAACTCTTTAGCAGCAAACTGTCGTTAAAGAAACTTGTCTGGATTATGAGCCCGAGCGGCTTCATAGCTGTGATCGTAAAGAAGATAAAATGGGGGGCCGACTTTTGAAAAATCTTCTTATGAGTTTAAATCAGGTCCAAACGTTAGAAAAAAAAAAATCTTCAAGGAGGTTTCTTTTAGAGATCAGGCAGTGACCAAAATAAAAAAAAAGACACAAAAAGCCAGTTACTGTAATGAAGATGACTCTGCCTCTTCCATTGGTAACTGCTCCTCACAGCGCTCGTGTTCAACGATGAAGCCAGAAATTTGGTGGTGAAAGTTCAACGTCGAAACGTTTCTTCTTCAACGCTTCGAAAAGTTCTCAGAAGTTCCGGCCAGATGATATTTTTTGTTTTGCTGTGATGACTGAAGGATCTGTGGGTGATTTATTTATTTTTTATTTTTTTGTCCTTATTGAGAGTCAGTCCTTGTGTAAATCAGAGGCGCTCGTGTGTGAATGGACACAATGTTCAGGTGTGGTGACTGGCCTCCTTTGTTTTTTTTTTGTGTTTTTGTTTTTAATATAAAAAAGGGACGTCAACGAGCCTGCAGTAGAGAAAAAACAAAAAAATGAGGTTATTTTATGAGCATTTTTCGTTATCACTCGCTATCATGAGAAATAGGGCGAAGAAACAACATGGCTGCTTCCACAAAACGAACATCTTAAACAGAACTGGCAATAACTCAGTCTGTTTTACAGACGTTGAGCTAAGATATGGTTTGGTAGTAGCTGACAGTTAAACTAACACATACTCTGAGTGCTAACCAGTTCTGTGAGATTCAAAATTTGGCTGTTCTTCAGTCCCTGCAGCCATTAAATGCAGTGCCACACAGCTTCAGGTGATCGTATGTAGGCTACGCCTGGCCCCCCCTACTATTTTACTCTTAACGTCGGCGTTGCCGTGTTCACTGGAGTTCACTCCCACTGATTCCAAAACCTCGATGAACGTCAAGATTACCAAAATATAAATTACACCAAGGTATAACTCCACCAGATACTCAACATTCCTTGTTTTAACACAACGGCAAGACTGCTTTATCATGTAGGAGTTCTCACAATATTAAGACTTTATTCTTATGTTATTACTACTTTATTTTGTAAGATTTTTGTAAAATAAGGACTTCATTCTCATATTCCAACGGTAGTCTTGTATTATTTCGACTTTATTCTGGTCATATGACTTTAATCTCTTATGACAATTTTATTCTTACATTTTTCATTTTACTCACTTTTTTCTCGTAATACCATGACTTTAGTCTTGTATTATTACGACTGTATTCTTGTAATCTTTTGACTTTATTCTGGTAATATACTTCAGTCTCATATTACTATGACTATGCTGGTAATATTACTTCATTCTTGTACAATTCTTCCCGTAATATGACTTTATTCTCGTATTATTATGACTTCTCTATTATGAATTTAATATCGTACACTTTTTCTCAATTTAACTTTATGACTTTTCTCTTATATTTTCACTTTATTCTGGTGTTAACATGACTTTAATCTATTATTATAACTATTATAATATTGACTTTTTCTCCTAATGCGACTTTTCTGGTAATATTTTGACTTTATTCTCTTATTATTGTGATTTAATTATCATACACTTTTATTCTCATAATGACTGCCGTCCTTTTGCTCTTCTGCCATTCTCTTAATAAAAATCTAGAAAGTTTTAAATATTTACCAGATTTGTCTCACATGAATCTTTGACTTCTGTGTTCGAGGGCAAGATTTCAGTCTTCATAATCCCGCCTACATGAGACTCAGATCCCTTCAGTAAAATCCTGCCATTAATGACTTCATTTAGCCTCAGTTGATCAGGAAAACTCTCCACTAAATGATGGGAATCTGCCGTGAATGCGTTACACGCATGAATCTATAAACATTAATGCATAAATGATTCAGGGTGACAGWGGACAAATGCAACACAGTAGGACTGCCCATATAAATCATTCAGACACTTAAATATAAGTTGGCAAATCCACACAGAATTGCACAAATTTACAGGGTTGGCAAATAAATATTTATGACTCCAACAACACCCCCCCCCTTTTCTCCCCGTCCTTGGTAATTGTGCGTGATTCATTTTGTTTTCTCGGTGGAGGAGGGAAAATCAATCTTAGAATATTGGCTACGAGACGCAAGGCATGAAGATTCCAAACGCTTGTGGTTTTTGCGGAACATAAAAGCTTCGCCGACACTCAGACGACATTCTCAGGAGAGGGTTTCACTTTAATCTCTAGTACTTTTCTTTGTGTTTTAGAGAAAAGACAATATTAGAAGCGAAGCCAACTCGTCAGGAGAGAAAGAACAACCTGCTGAAGACCGAGCAACCTTTAATAAAAGATCGAATTGGAGGCATTTCATGCAAGCGACCTAATTCCAGCAATCTGTCATTTCGTTATTTAGAAAAAGGATCTTTTTAAAACTTTTTCCACAAATTGTTTTCTTCTAAAAACATCCTCCCATCCAAAAAGTTGGATTCTTAAAGAAGCTTCTGCCTTTGATGAAACCACAGGAGAGCTTTTTAGTTTCAGTCCTATATTCTAAAACTGACAATAACTGCAGCAATTTCCCCCTTTTTTTACTCCGATACATCAAAGTGACTACATCCAGAAGAATGGACAATTCCACTGTGATTTTCCTCCAGCCTGAACCATGTCTAACCTCCTCCACTTTGAAAGAACACTGTTCCTGTTTTGTCTGGAAAAACACAAAGTTTTCAAGCTTGTTGCGTTCACCGAAGAGTCCTGCTTTGACTAAAACGGATGTCAATTTTGCAGGGATTCAGGGATAAAAAAAAACTCATTTCTTGTACATTTAAACAAAATAAAATCAAAGTTTTGATGTCTGCATGCACGTTGGAATGAAACAGTTTCATTAAATTCATACTTGCTGTTTTCCTCTGCATCCTACGACGGCTCCTTGGGCAAAGGCTGAAAGACAAAAAGTAGAGGTTCAGGATCGATGGAACAGACTCGTCGCTGAGACTTTAATTGAACTTCCTCTCATTTTTTAGCATTAGATGCAGAGCAGGACGTGACCATTTAAAAGCACAGGTGGCACATTTTTCACTTAGATGTAAGGAGATACAAAAAAGCTGAAGGTTAATTTGTCCTCTGGTCGGTTTTATGAGCTTTAAGGATGCCGCTTCGCTCCTCGACCAGAAAATATGAGCGCGTAATAGTCACTGAATTAAAAAGCAAGGAACCTCTTTTAGCCTTTGACTAAAAGCACCAATTTTTATTTTTTTATCGTCAGCTGTGAGGCTCTCTGTTAAACTGTGTTTCACTTTGTTTCTTCTTGCACACATTTATCTCACAGAGGGCACAACACGCTGTTTTCCCCTGGACCAGGAGAAGGAAACAGCTTCCTCGCCTGCTTTTTTTTTTAATACAGTGAACGAGCCACTTTTCTGTAGATAATGACTCAGCTAATTATAATCAGAAAGCTAATGGTGTGTTTAACCAATCAGAGGAGCCTTGGGCCGTCTGGGCAGCGCATTGGCATTCCCAGCAGCCGCTGCTTCCCCCCCCACCCCACCCCACCCTCGGCCACGCCAGACCCTTTTCGCAAGGCGGACTTGGTATTCCGCTGCCCGCCTGGCCTGCCGCTCTGTCCGTCCCGCAGGCAGAACCAAGCCCGGGACTCTCAAAGAAATTCAGGCCCGTGAAGAGGCGCTGATCCATCACACCTCCCCTCCYGCAGCATGTCATCTAAATGCTAAGTACTTCCACTGCATCTTTAAATCAAAACAAGAAAAGAAATGAGCACGAAGGCGAGTGGTTGGAAGGGATAAAAGCTTATAAGGGCACAATGGAATCTGCCAAGCAAACCCTTAGCTTTTTGATTACATTCATTTTCAGAGGGAGAGGAAACGAAGGGGTGGGGGGGGGACTGAGGAAGTAGAATGTGCACGAGGAACCTTATTATTCTTTTCAATGTACAAAAAAAGGGATATGATTGTTACACATACCCCAAAGGTTCTTTTAAAAATAATGTGTTGTTTGATTTTAGCCCAGAAATGATCAGAACTGCTCCCACCACACAAGCCCCCTCCAGTCGCCCCGTCTCAGTCCAAGTGTTAGCGATCGATCGGTGCGATTCTCCAAGTCGCTGAGGCAGCACAAGCGGCTGGCGCTATTAGCTGCTGCTACTAATTAAAAGGGTAACAAGGTGAGCGTGGGCCCCCCACCCACCTGGGGGACCGACTGAGCGGGAGATGAAGCATCGCTGTTCTCCGGTAAACAGCGCTCACGGCCTCCGGTGTTTACAAGACAGGAAAATCCAAGGACATCCGAGGCATTTTGATTGGAATGAGGGAGATGCTCGAGATAAGAAGAGGGAACAAGTGCTTTGCTAATTGCTCGTGTTGTGGCAAAAAAAAAAAAAGTAAACATTTGGACCGTGTCTCCGAGCTCGGGGGTGGCCCCGTTTTGTTGTCGCTTGTAAACAAACGAGCGCTGTGCATCAATGATAAAAGTTTTACGGTTCGGATGAGGTGCACAACGTGGATCTTTGAAAGCATGCCAGCAGAGATTGGCTTATTGGGGGGGGGGGGGGGGCAGTTAATTCCTTATCATGAACACGACATACTTCAGGATCAAAGTACGTACAACATGCCTTGTGTTGCACCACTTAAATGAGACAGAGTTGCAAGTCTTGTAAGTATTTGTAGCCAAAAGAAACAGGTAGAGTAAACAGCTTGTTTGCTCAGCGCTAATAGCGAAGCAGAGGTTGCTTTTTTTGGTGGCACCTCAAGCCACACACTGTCACCGGCAGCCCACCCTGCTGTTAAGGACACAGGAGCTGGGCTATCACTGCATTAACTAAAAATCTCTCTCCTGGGGGGGTCCCTCCTGACAAGTGCACTCCTGCACAGGATGTGGCTGCTTTCATCAGCTGGAGCCCCCACCGTGGACCCAGTGATTACCAACCACTAGAGCCGCTGCTGTTTTTAGGCTAACAAGCAAAGCCGAAGCTTTACTGAAGACCCAGAGAGGGTGCTTTTCTCTCAGACGATGAGGCTGACGCACAAAAGCAGCGGAGCATCAGACTCGCAGTCCGTCTCCGAGGAACAGAAACCAGATTAGTTTCAAAGCATCTGGTTGTGTTTGCAGCTTTGTTTCTGGAGGGGCAGCGACAGCCGAGCATCTGTTGACCGGAGTCTTTCAACAGGAGTATAAAGACTACAGCAACGGGAGGACAGCTAATTATAAATACGTGTTTTAAGTCTTCAGATCTACAAATTTAATTGTTTTTCAACTTTAAAAAGGCAACCGTTAGTATATTATAGTTGATGTGTTCGAAGAAAATTCCACATTTTACCTTTGTAAATATGGGTCCTGACTTGTTGAAATGTGTATTTGTGAGCATTGTGTCTTTTTAATGTTCAAAATGAATGCAGATTTTAGGTTTGTGGTAATAAATTAACTTTTTTTGTTAAAAAACATTGCGATGTCTCGGTTTCGGAAGGAGGACGGTTGGAAACTGGCGTGTATTGTAAGCCCACACACACAGACCAATATTTGCGTTTTGACTCCCACCACCCACTGGAACACAAGTTAGGAGTGATCAGGACTCTGTACCACAGAGCAGACAGTGTCCCTACAAACCCAGGAGCCAGGCAGAAAGAGAAATCACACACACGACAGGCCCTGGAGCAGTGTGGTTATCCTGACTGGGCTTTCTTGAAAGCAGACAGGAAACACAGACAGGACTCCATGCAACCTTCAGGTGAAAATGAAGACCCCAAACCCAGACCCAAACCAGTGGTTATTCCGTATGTTGCGGGTGTTTCGGAGAAACAGAGACGTTTATTTTCTAAACATGATGTCCCAATGGCATTCAAACCCCAAAACACATTACGGCAAAGGCTGGTTCACCCCAAAGATCCGGTGCCCCGGCACAAACAGAGCAATGTTGTATATGCTGTTAAGTGCCAGGAGGACTGCGACCAGTTATACATCGGGGAAACAAAGCAACCACTGTTCAAAAGAATGTCCCAACACAGACGAGCTACGTCTAATGGCCAGAACTCTGCAGTTTTCACTCATTTACAGGCCAGCGGTCACTCTTTCAGAGATGAGGATGTTCTCATTCTTGATAGAGAGGAACGTTGGTTTGAGAGAGGAGTAAAAGAAGCCATTTTTGTGATGAAAGACCGTCCATCATTAGACAGAGGTGGGGGAAGCAGTACATTGAGTAATTATTTTTCAGCCTACGTTTTACTTTTACTCCTATTTTTACAGTTATCTGTACTTTCTACTCCTTACATTTTTACAGTTATCTGTACTTTCTACTCCTTACATTTTTACAGTTATCTGTACTTTCTACTCCTTACATTTTTAAAAAGGTAAGAAGTTGAAAATTGTTACTCATTTCATTCCAGCGCGTTAGAAGTATAAATATATACTACATGGTATTAGTTTGTACACAATCCATCACAGCTGCACACCTTAAAGAAAAAAAATGTAGATGCCACTTCTCAGTTAATTGTCATTTTGTAAAATCTAACTGTTCGTTTTTCTTCAATATATTTACTTTTATTACTTACTGTGAGTACATTTTATGTCAGAAATTTACTTTTGAAACTTAAGTACAAAATAAATCAGATACTTTAGGGCTTTTACTCAATTATTTTTAGAAGAGACTTTAACTTTTACCAAAGTAGCTTCATGATGATACTTGTACTTTTACGCAAGCATCACTTTGAGGTACTTCATACAATACTGAGCTTAGACTTATTTCTTACATGATTAGAGTGCTAATAAACTGGGYAGAGTTTTGATTTACAATTTTGCATTAAGTATTTGGAGGCAACTTTGTCCATTGGCAAAATATTTTAGGAAATACAGAACTGATTTGAAGGACACCTTTAGGACGTGTACATCTACAGACTCGCATTTTGAGTCGATCCGAACAAAAATGGCTCCCACAGCTAATCTATGTTAGCTCTCAATAACAGCGCTCTCATTTCTTAACATGTGATGATTTTAAAAATCTGGCATGAAAGGTGGCGGCGCCTGTCAAGGAATGTCAGGCTTTTAATTTTAATATATTTCTAACCCTAAATCTTTAAAAGAACTCATGAGGTCAAAAAAAAAGAAAAAAGAAAAAGAAGTTTGTGTGATTTGCAGTTTTTCTTCACAATTTAATCACCTGCAAATTTAGAAAAGTATAGTTATTATAGGACAAATGTAATAATTATATTAAAAGAACCAGTTTTTCTGCTAATTCTAACCTGCAAAGTACCTATTAGCTAGGGGTGCAACGATACAGAAAATTCACGGTTCGGTTCGATACTTTAGTCTCGGTTCGATATTTTTTCGATACAAAAAAGAGAAATATCCATGCCCCTTTTAACTTGTAATTTATTTATATTAATTATGAACATTTGTTTAACCTCAAAAGTACAGTTTTTTAATTAAATGTTGCTGAAACAGCAAGTTTCTCAGTGGATCTGCGCGCAAAAATGCAGCCTAGGTGGAGTAGTCGAACACAGATCCACTGATCCTTCAACACAGAGCATCTTCAGAAGACAAGTTGATAAAGTAAATTTTTAAAATCTATATTGTTCGATACAGCACTGTTCGGTACGGTTCAGTTCGATTCGATACGGGTACATGTATTGTTGCACCCCTACTATTAGCATCATAAAAGTACTTTGGACTTGAAAATTAGCATGTAAGTATTTAATTTTCATGTCTGGAAAGAGTTTTGCTCATGTTCTGAAATGACTCACTTTGAACAGAATTTAAATATCGGACAAATAGCTCATTGCATACAAGATAAAAAAGGGGGTTACACTAGCAAACAAAACAAACAAAAAGAACACACACACACAAAGTATCCAGAGAGATGAAAAGCATTACAGTTTAGAGACAGTGGTGCTGCTGAGCCTGCTTAAATGTGTCCAGTATTTATTATCGAAACC